AGGGATTGTGGGGCTGGCGCGGGATCGGGCAGTGTTTCGTTCTGCTGTGCATGGGGTCGCTATGAGTCGGAAACGACTCGACGGCACTTAACAAAATAACAACAACATACTTTTATAATACTTATCACTATCCTTTCTTTCAAACTTTTCAAAAGAACACATAATGTCTACTTCAAACTTCTTACCCTAATCCTCTCAAAGGCATAGAGTGCCTAAGGTATTTGACTGCTAAACAGAAGACTGGCGGTTCAAACCCATCAGCCAGTCCTCAGAAGGAAGACTAGGCAATCTACTTCTGTAGTGATACAGCCTCAGAAACCCGAGGAGGGGTCATTATGATTCGGATCTGACTTGACAGCAATGAGTTTGCTTTTTGGAATCCCCTCAAAAACTAGTTTCTGTTCTAATAAAGTCACTATGCCAAAGTCTCCTACATAGCAGATCTATAGATTCTTTTCTCAGTTCTTTCTTTTCTTTCTAAAAGTTCTTCAGTATTCTAAAGTATTGACTGCCCCTTCTACCTTGAACTTCTAATTCACTGGACACCTCTGACGTTTCACCAACCAAATTCTGCTACCTCTGGAGACATTTTTCTTTCTGGCATTTCAGAAAGAAAATAATGAACTCTCTGCATATTTTATGCTATTACTACAGATCTCAGTTACCAAACCCTTCCTCATACAACTTCAAGAATCATCTCTACACAGACAGCTCCTCATTACCTCCAACCAAAATTTTTATGTTTACTAAACCAACCACTCCTCGGAAGGAAGATGGGGCAATCTACTTCCGTAGTGATACTGCCTTGGAAACCCAAGGAGGGGTCGCTATGAGTTGGGTCCAACTCCACGGCACATAACAACAACAACAACAACTAGCAGGACATCTCTAATTACAAGAGCTTTTATCACCTCTAAGTCAATATATCTAAAGCTGACTTCATTCCCCCTTCCCTAAATATTAGTTTCCATAGAAATCTCCCCATCTCTGTCAGTACTAACATTATTCTCTTTATCTTCACTCACACAGCAGTCTAATATTAAACACTGACTTCCTAAAACACCATTTGTTTTAATCTACTATTCACACCTCTCAATGATTTTCAGTGTCTATAAGGCAAAAATCCAAATTTCTGAACCCACTGCTGTGGCTTCCCCCAAAACAAAAGACAGACATATGAGCTGAACATTTACATTAGGTAGATACACTCCTTGGAGAGATCGATCATGGGAGAATAGAAGGGTTGTGTATGCACATGGAAACAGCTTGGGGGCATGAATGCATGGGAGGGAAGGACACAGGGAAGAGGTACCTATGAGGAGGAAGTGGAAGGGGAGCTGTTGCATTGTGGAAGATTACAATCAATGTCATGAGACAAAGTATATGTAAGCTGCTGTATGGAAGATGAATTTGCTTGGTAAACTTTCACACAAATCACAATAAAAATTAATAAAGAAAGGGAAAAAAAAAATCCCAATTCCTTAATCTAGTGTTGCTATGGTTTCCTTTCTCAAAGATCCTCTCCACATCCCTGAGCTCTACCCATATTAATCTACTTAATATTACCCCAACATGCCACGCGAATTCATACCTGGTGCTTTTTGCTCTCATTTTCCCTTGTGCTTTGTACAGTTTTGTCTCCTACTGTCCATTAAGTTCAATTCTATCCTTTCTTCAAGGTCTAGATTAAATCTCAGTTTTTCAAGCAAATCTTTACTGATTGCTCAGGCACCAGTGAATTCTCTCATCTCTAAACTCCTAAATCACTTCACCTTTAACCTATGTATTTTATATGCTGTGCTTGCCTCTTGCTTCTGTAGTAGAGATAATTTCTTTTTTGTTTTTCTATCTTCTGTGTTAAGGACAAATATAAGGCACTGCACATAGGAGGTACTAAACATTTTCTCAAATTGCTAAAGAGTGACAAATCAGATAATACAGTATCTGATTCTGGAGGGCCTTGAATATCTGGGTAGATATAAACACTTTTCTATAGGCCAGAACTTAAATGTTTCGTCAACATGTTAAATTGTCAAATCAGAAATATCAGGATAGAACTGCATCTGTTTTAGACATAAAATCTCACTAATCTGAACCAACTAATCAGAGTTACCAAACCATCCCAGATACAATATTCTTAAATGTCATATTATAATATAAACATTTCTAACAATTTCCTTATAGAATTCATTTAGCAACTACGTTACGCAATACTATCTACAAATGAGACAGAACATTAATAAAGCAAAGGGTGTGGAGGATACTCGGAGCTCTGGTAGTGCAGTACCTAAGGCACCTGACTGCTAACCAGAAGGCTGGAGATTCAAACCCACCAGCCACTCCTCGGAAGGAAGGTTGGACAATCTACTTCTGTAGTGATACTGCCTCGGAAACCCAAGGAGGGGTCGCTATGATTCAGGTCCAACTCAGTGTCACATAACAGCAACAGCAACATGGAAGATACTAATCTTAAGTGTACTACTTGGTAAGTTTATATATATATATGTACATACCTATACCAGATGAAGATATGGAAGACTTCCAACATCCTCATGAAGTTAAGCAATACTGTTTTATTTAAGAAATTTAGGCTGAGTCTATGCAAAGTATCAAAAAAATTCCTAACAGTTGTTTTCCTATATTTAGCTAAATTGTTATTCATTAGAAAAGATGATTACCCACAATATGCCAACTTCTAAGGCAAACTCAAACTCACTGCCATCGAGTCTACTCTGACTCATAGTAACCCCCACTGGGTTTCTGAGGTGGTAAATCTTTACATAAATAGATTGCCCCATCTTCCTTCTATGGAGTGACTGGTGGGTTTGAACTACCAATCTCCTCATTAGCAGTCAAATGTCTTAGGCACTGTGTCACCAGAGCTCCTTAACTTTTAAGGCAGTTAACAGAAATAATGGAAGAACAAAAATGGAAACAAACAAACAAACAAAATCCTTACCTTTATGAAGCTTATACCAGAGTGGTAAGAGAGACATGTAAATCAAAATGTAATCTGCTATGTGTCCTAATGGAGGTACATACAGAGAGTACTGACAGTAGAGGGCAAATGCAACCACTGCCGTTGGGGTAGGACCCAAGGTAGCGACCCCTCCTTGGGTTTCCAAGCTTTAGCACTACGGGAGCAGATTGCCCAACCTTCCTTCCGAGGAGTGGCTGGTGGCTTTGAACCACCAGCCTTTCTGGTTAGCAGTCAAGTGCCTTAGGCAATACGCCACCAGAGCTCCTGATAGTAGAGGGAGTGACACATAATTAACTAGATAAGGGGACATAACAAAGCAGGAGGTAACACTTTAACTGAGTCTTAAAAAATAAATAGAAATTCATTGGCTAGAGGAAGTAATAAGAATATTCCAGCAACCCAGCAGAGGGAATAGAATTAACAAACAGAGAGTCACAGAAATTCATGAAAGTTCACAGGCTATGAGGCAACCTGTAATACCTAAAAGCATTCTGTATATGGAGAGGAGAAGTGAGAAATGAGCCTGGGAAGACAGGCTGGACTCAAACGGAGAAGTCTGGCCTTTATCGTAGAACAGTGGAAGCCATCAAAGCTCTCCAAATGCAGGAATGAACAATGTAATTAGAAAAAGATTTATTAAATGTTTGAGGTGAGGATTGAAGTAACAAAAATGAATAAAAAAATGCTTTATGGAGGTGATATAAATGTGATATAAATAAGCTGAGTCTAAAGGATAAATTGAAGTTAAGACAAAAAAGGAACAGAAGGGCATTCCATACATGCAAAGGCATGGAAGGGTTAAGAACCAAGAATTTCAGTAATTTGCAAACCATTTGGTATGCAAGGTAATTTAGGGTATAGGTAGCAGGAGAAAAGGGTAGGATGATAGGCAAGGCCTATTTTTTATCTTTTTTTTATTTTCCTGTTGTTTCTGTAAGGATTGCAGGTATTTTGTATCTCTGAAGTCTGTGCAAGATTAGCCTATGCTGAATCTATCCTTGGTCTAAATATAATCCTGATCACCGACCCCCATCTGATCTTCTCAGACGTTTATGTGTTTATCTGTAGCCTGGCGTTTGGTGTTAATGGTAATGCAGTATTGTGGATATACTGGTTGGTATTAGCGTCTGTGGTCTATATCTTATGTGCACAATTTGGTGTCCTCCCTTCTCCTAATGTTATCAGGGTGGTCACAGACTCTTTCTATACCACCCCTCCCCTCACCTACATCAGCATGTGGCCCCCAACTAGACCAAAATTAATCCCGCCCCTTACCTCCCCACCCCGGTAACCTACAAAGTGAGTTCCCTTTCTTAAGCAAACCCTTCTTTGTCTTTTTTATAGTAATGGGCTCATACAGTATTTGTCCTTCTGTGATTGACTTATTTTACATAGCATAATGTCCTCCAGGCTCATGCAAAACCTATTTTTATATATCACATCCGAGAAATATGACAGGATTGTAAGCACAAGAGAGAGAGAATCAAACTGGGATTTTAGAAAGATCATTTTGGCAACAATACAGAGAAAGCAGACAGGAATCAAGGTAAGAAGACCAGTTACAAAAGAAAAAAAAAAAAAGGATTTAATGAAGCCAAGGGAGTCCTAGATGTCTGTCTATTCTTGACAGTGATGAATATAAAAAAATACTGGAAGGACATTAACACCTAATAAGTGTAAGGCTATCATCTGTGAAATGTATGTCTATATAAAACACATTAATGTACATAAATATAAGAGATATATGAGGAGTTTCATAAGATCATATGAAAATGCTTACAAGCTTAGACATACCAAGTAGAGATAACATAGACTGTAACCTGCACTATTAGACTTACCTTATCAGAGCAGTTGACTTTAGCACCATTTTGCAGTAAAAGATGTACTATATCTGCATGGCCTCTCCCTGCTGCCCAAATGATTGGGTAAACACTATACTGCTGGGATAGATAGGTAAGTAGGTGGGTAGGGGGAAAGGGAGTGAGGGAGGGCAACAAAGAAAGGGATAGAGGAAAGGGAAGAAAGGAAGAAAAAAAAGAGAGACATAAAAAACTTTTAGGTTTATATTTGCAGATGCATTTCTCAAGTAAAGTAAATATCAAAGGGAGTAACAGAAAAAATAAAGTAATAGTAATATTAAAAAGAAATCAAGTTACAGACCATTTTCTACTTTAAAAACACATAACACTCATTACACATCATTGGCAGTTAAGGATGCACCCAATTTCACATAAATATGTATCACAAACACATTTATTTTCACAGATTCAACACATTTAATGCGATTAGCCAACAGACAAGACTAATAAGAGGAATGTGAAATCTTTCTTATATAGTCCTTCCATTAACTGAATAAAACAGACTCTCAATGTTCAGTCTGAGATAGTCTTATGCAAAGTAGTAATGCATGTATTAACATTTTTCAGAATGTATAGAAAAATGGTATGTTATTTGGTAAATACTTAGACAAATGTTTCTTTTCTTTAAAGTTCCAATTAAGAATGCATTGCTACATAAAATAAGCAAGATAATTAAGGATTTCAAAATTTCCTTTTTAAATATGATATAGTTATAGTTAACATTACCAGCTCTAAGAGCTGCCTTCATATTGATAAATTTGAGAAATAAACTTAGACTGAAAAAGAAATTTTTCATTATTGTGTTTTGAAATCACCTTCTATGGTATTATCTGTAATAAAATATAGATAATATCTATCTACCATAAGGTCTAAAGTATAATCAGGGTCAAGTGTTCCAAAAGACAACTTAGCACTTACATTACAAATGAATATTTTGTTAACGCTTACCAGACCAGTGACACTTGGATTGGCACCATGAGAAAGAAGCAACTCTACTACATCAGTACGGCCTTTATAGCATGCCCACATGAGAGCTGTCCAGCCTCCCTAAAGAAAATAAAAAGAGGGGGAAATGAAACTTTGGATCTTCTCCAAGCATAAAAATGCCACTAATAAAGTTTGTTCTGCAACTTTTCTTCATAAAACCATAGCTTTATGAAGGCAATACCACTGAATTTTAAATTCCCCAAATCTCCAGAGAAATATCTAATAGTATATTTGAAATAAGTCAAATCTCGTAATTCCATAAACAATTACTCCAAAGTTTGCATTATTTACGAAAGTCAAAATAGGAAATATTCATAATGAACTCTTCCAAATTCCTAAAATTTCTTCTGGTTGTATAAAATTTTTTCCTCAGAAAAATTTCTATGTCTCTGGATTTCTTCTCCTTGTATGAGTCTACCATGTGACAGCAATTCCACTCCTAGATATACAGTTAAAAGACCTGAAAGCAGAGACTCAGAAATAATTGTAGACCATCGTTCACTGCAGCACTACTTACAATAACCAAAAAGTGGAAACAACTTAAAATTAAGTGATATTTTATTTATTTTAATTTCTGACAGGATGTCTAGTCATTCTTAGAGTATAAAGTGATGGATGATAGAGAAAACAGAATTGATCATAATAAAAACAAAGTTCTTATATTTTTTAAGTGAACTTTGGATCATAAGGCACGAGATAAGTAGGCCTGGGTCAGAAGGGGGGAATTGGGAAAGGCTTTCTTTAAAAAAAAAAAAAAAAAGTTATTTTTAGAGCCAAGCATAGTTTGGAGGAGAGAAGAAAATTGAGTCAAAGTTATAGGTAAAGATAGGAAACCACAACAAGACAATGAGCCAGTTGTGCTGTGCTGACATTATGTACCTCCTGATAGGAGGCACTTGACTGCTAACCAGAAGGCTGGGGGTTCAAACCCACCAGCCAACCCTCGGAAGGAAGACTGGGCAATCTACTTCCATAGTGATACTGCCTCGGAAACCCAAGGAGGGGTCGCTATGAGTAGGGTCCAACTCGACGGCACATAACAACGACAACACAACTAAAAAACTCTCCTGAGAATTAAAAAAAAAAAAAACAAACTCATTGCTATCGGGTCAATTCCAACTCACAGTGACCTCCATTGGATTTCCGAGGCAATAAATCTTTATGGAAGTTAACTGCTCCACCTTCCTTCCACAGAGTGGCTAGTGGGTTTGAAACACCAGCCTTCCGCTTAGAAGAGCTCCTAATTCAACTGAAAAATTGGTATGGTTCCTTTCACCAAATATTGAGAACTAATTAACTTCCTACATTGTCTTTCTACTTCATCAATCAATAAGGTAAGAATGCCATGATTTACTCTCAGCTGCCATATCCATCTTTTGCCTAGGTTACTAAAATTATGAGCTTTTCCCTCAACCCATTTTAAATTATTAATTTTTATGCAGTATATATAAACTTTTATTGCAATGTACTTCAATTTCTTTTAAGAAAGGATACAAACAGTTGTCTGTATCTTCCCATAAAAATGAGTGTATCACTTACTTTGCTAAGTTTTGAGAATAGATATAACATTATGGAAATAAAATTGCTGTGTAAATTATAATATTAAAATACAAGATGATGGAATACTGAAGTTTTTTTAAAAGTTAGACAACTTGTACTTTATAGAACAGGCCATCGGTAAATAATATATGTTTCACACTTCAACTAACTAAAACCAAACTCACTGCCGTCGAGTTGATTCGACTGATCGCAACCCTTCCGTGGGTTTCCAAGGCAATATAGCTTCAGAAGTAGATTGCTCACTATTCCTCCCGAGGAGTGGCTGGAGGTTTGAACAGTTGTTGTTGTTGTTACGTGCCGTCGAGTCAGCCCTGACTCATAGCGACCCCTCCTTGGGTTTCCGAGGCAGTATCACTACAGAAGTACGATTGCCCAACCTTACTTCCGAGGAGTGGCTGGTGGGTTTGAACCACCAGGCTTCTGGTTAGCAGTCAGGTGCCTTAGGCACTATGCTACCAGAGCTCCTGGTTAGCAGCCAAATGCCTTAGGTACTACGCCACCAGAGCAGCACTGTTAAAACTAACTTTTTAAAAAGGCTGGACATTTTACAGAATAAATTCACCAGAAATGATTCCTTTTTTCACCTCTACACTTTAACCAGATACCAAGTTCAAATAAGAGCTAAGTGATCATTAAGAAGCATATCTTGTTAAACTTGTAATGTACAGACAGTATATCTGAACATAATTACATTTTTTAAATGAATTTATAAACATCATCTTGAAAATTATAACTTTAAACAGCTAAACAGTTCTTAAAACTGTACTATAATTACCCTCTTAAAGACTTACCTAAAGGAAGTAATTTTTTTCTAAAGTTCTAAAACATTGATATATATTTAAAAGACTAATGAGTTATTTTTAACAATATTTCAGAATTTCATACTCTGAAATAAACTTAAAATGATCAACAAGAATACTGTAAAAAAGATACATTATATCAGCTGGGTTTTAAAGCATTCTTGAGAGCCAGTAGGAAATCCTAAAAACATTATTGGAATATTACCCCACACATCAAAATACACAACTTCACATGCACCTACTACTGTTAATAAGATTTCAGCCAAATGATAAGCTATCATAAGGAATGCACATACCATATCTCGGTGCTCCAAATTAACCCCACATTTAAGGAGTTCTTCCACAATATGTATATGCCCTTCTTTTGATGCCGATATAAGTGCTGTCCAGTTATCCTTGAACATATATACAAAAATATTACCATTTCAAGGCCAAAAATAACATTCCAAGTGAGGAAAAAGAAATTTGAATTTACATACTAGATGATCATACCAAGTTGACATGATTTAACCCATACTAAACTACTCTAAAGTAACATTAAAGCACAAGTTCTCTTAAGAATTTACCTGTGGACATGTGTTACTCTTAGTAATGTAATGTAGAATCATTTCTCCACTACTTGTTCAGTCTTTTCACTGGATGTCTAATTACACAGTGGTTTTTTTTGTTTTTGTTTTTTAAAGAAGAAAAGCTGATCACCAAAACCTTAAAGCTAATCCTTGTGGCTAGCAATCATGACTATAAATTGAAATTAAAGAGTCTATAATTAGATTTAAGAGTACATTTACAGGGTACTAAATAAGAGTGATCCCATATGATGAGTTTAGAAACTATGTGATAAGAAGTATTCTACCTTTATTTTTTTAAATAAAGAATACAGGTGTCCTACCCTAACTTTATTCATGAGTGTAATTTAATTCCAATGATCATTCAATTGAAAAAAAAAAAAAACAGATTTAACTGTGTGACTCTCAAAAATATTCTAGAAAAATGAGAGGAAAAGTCAACCCCTCACAAGAGTGATTTATCACTCAGAAGTGGTACCTGCTAGGACATCTTTCTGGATATTATCATATATAATTATATTTACAGTAAGTTACCATTATGAGGAGTTATTTAACAACATGACCCCTATACAGATATTTTCTAGACAGGCTTTTAATTTTTAGTATATGTGTTCTCTATTCAACCAATGCCATCTATATATAAAACAACATGAAGAACTGAGACCGTCCATAAAAAGTAAAAATTTCTCTCCTGTATAAGAAACTGATTTAGCATGCTAGGCAAAGTTGAGATATATCTGAAAGTATAATCTGTAATCTATTACTTTTTAATCATTTCTTAAAAACAAACAGCAAAGGCAAAGAAAAAGGAAATAAGTTAAGTAAATTATTTTAATATATACCAAATCCTCCAGATTGCAATTAGCTCCATTCTTAATTAATTCTTTCACTATTTCCAGATTGCCTTGTTCAGCAGCTATCATCAATGGAGTCTGGCCACACTAGAAAATAAAAGAGGCATGAAAAGTCTGTCAAGATGCTATACTTCTACTTAAACACCACAGTAAATAAATACAATTAATTATATATAATTTTATATGTATATATAAGCATATTCCT